AACTTAAGTAGTAAGTAAAAAACAAAAGTGCGTTCTGCTTAAAAGTAAAAATATTAGTTCACTTTGTCTTACTTGTCTAAATTTAAGCATATTGATTTTTAAGTAAATTCAGATCTTTTTAAGCTTATATGTATATGAAGTACTTCGAAAGTTTTTGTCGTACTTAACTTAAATAAGATATACAGTCAGTCAATAAAGTTTAGGTACAGTGAAGTTTTTACAATACCGGAACTATTTTTTAAATATTTATTTTTTCCAAATTTTTAATAAAAATATGGTTAATTCTACCCCAAAAACCCCAAAAATCAGAGTTCCAAACCTTATGCAAAATTAAAGAAAACTGCGAATTTCCATCCAAGTATTGCAATTTACACTTTAGTAAAAAGTTAAGTACTCAGTTATTAGCCCATTCAATTTTAATATAATAAAGTGCAAGTTTGAGGTAGCTAGGACTTACCATTGATATTTAGCAATTTTTTTTTTTTGTTGTTTGGTAAGTCCTAGCTTCCTCACACTTGCACTTCATTATACTAAAATTGAATGGGCTAAAAAACTTTTTCTAGAGAGCGTAAATAGAAACTGAATTATTTTAATGAAATTTTGCAGAATTTTCTTAAATTTTGCACAAGGTTTGGAACTCTGATTTTTGGTGATTTTGTTGTAGAATTGACCATATTTTTATAAAAAATTACCGAAAACTAAAACATTAAAAAAATAGTTGCCCGTATTGTAAAAAATTCGTTGTATCTAAACTTTATTGACTGACTGTATTAAGGTAGCTGTGCTGGATTGCATAAAAAAAATTAATTTGTCTTTTCTTAAAAAAAAGGTAGCTCTGGTGGCTTGCATTTTTAAATAAATTTAGTGAGAAAGTGATAATTATTTTGACACTTTTTTTTTAAATGCCTTTTTTTCTGCAACTACATTGCCTTTCTCAATTGTCCTTCAGGATCTTGGCCTTTGTTTATGGAATCACTAAGTATAATGATTATTAAGCAACTCAAAAACTATACCAGCGTGATTACCGACGTATCCTTTTGAGAGGTAGCCGCACCCTTATAAAAGGAATAAGACCCAAACTTTTCAGGTAAAAATTTCAGTAGGTTGCGTCTGTATGGCCTTTTCAATTTTATAAATTATTATTATTTTTAAGTGGAAAAATAAAACTCAAAATTAATGTTAATCTCTGCGCGAAAAAATAAAAATCATAAAATAATCGTTATTTGTAATCCCAAAAATAAAAATAAAATAATAATTATTCCCGTTTGAGCGAAAAAATAAAACTCAATAATAATGATTAAATGTTGATTTAAATTATTTTTCTCATAATGATTACCTTCCCTGCGTTTAAAATTTGAAATAAAATATTTTAGTGAAAGTACCACATTTCACTGCTTTTGGACTGGTGCGGGACTAGTTACTATCGGACTGGTTCGTTTTTGGCGAAAAAGAACTAGTACTGAACAAGAAATTTGGTTCACTAGTTCGTGTTTTCCCTAAAGGGTTCTTGTTCACGTTTTGGCATTTCCCTCTCGCAATTGCACCAGTGTGACGTCACACAAAAGTTATTCTCAAAAATCCTTTCTGATCGGCGCAATCTGGTATTCTATCATTCTTGCAGAAAAGGGACAATGCAATGAACAAGAAAGAGGATACTGATGACATCGCCGCAGTCTATTTATTATGTTTATAAATATTAGTAATATTCAGTTCAGATAGGGTTGGGCACGCTGCACTAAATTTTCAACGCACTCAGCATTTCATTACACTATTCGTGTAGTGGTAGTGAAATGGGAAATGCATTACCACTAATAGTGAAAGTTCGATTTCACTATCACTATGTACTAGTGAAATTTGAAATGCACTATCACTAACCAATTTGAAATGAACTACCACTAACCATACAGAGGTAGTGAAATTTGGAATGCACTACCACTAACCATACAGGGGTAGTGAAATTTGAAATGCACTACCACTAAGCATATAGTGGTAGTGAAATTTCAAATGCACTACCACTGAAGCCCTAGTGGTAGAGAAAATCTCGATCTAGTGCAGCGTGCCCAACCCTAAGTTCAGACAAAACTACCACAAGCGTTGGTAACGATTTTTAGTTTTACGTTTCAAATTTTAAATTTAAATGTACTGTAAGTTTACAACTCTTTTGTGTTAAACTTAACTATTTATTTTTTGTGTATTCATACGTTTATTAGTTTTTTGTTGTTTTGTTAATGTTTTATATTTATTGCTGCGCAGGTAAATAAACGAAAAAATCCCCTGAAAATGCTTAAAATCTTAGCGAAACATCGGGAAAAGGCTAAATAAAGTCTTTTTATTTACACAACGGTTAGATCGGAAAAACCTAACATATATCACAATTTCAACAATACTAAACTGATCGGAAAAACAAAACAAATACAAAAATATTTATTTTTGATTAGTTAATTAAACGGTTTACGGTTAATCAGCTTATTTGATTATTTGATTAATCGCACATCCCTATTTGGGAATATTTGTCGATAAGATTTCTCTTTGGTCAAACTTTTATGTGAATAAAATTCTTTCACTCTTCATTTATTTAGTTTTTAATACCTATATAGCATGTGTAATATATCATAAAAAAGTTAATTCACTGTCTATTGTGTAGATCAGCGAATCTGCTTTATATCTATAATTCAAGTTCATTTTAGCACTACCAGACTACTTTCCCTACTACCTTTTCACAAAAGGGGATAAAATTGTTAGCCGCTTTCTCTTTACTTCTGAAATGCAACCTTACAAGGCAGTCGATTGACACAAATGTCAATGGCTGCGGTTCTTCATACATTCCGGATAATCCCATTTCACAGCCGGAATAAACAGAATGCGTTTGAAATATACGTCAACATATCATCAGGAACGTTCTAAAGAATAAATAAACAAAAAAGTTTATTCCAAACGTTCAGAATGAATAAAGAAATGCAGCCAATATTTATCCAACCTTAGCGATTCAAAAAATTGTGTTCTTCATAATATGCACGATTTCCACTGAACTTGTGGGGTAGTGTTTTTGGGGTGTTTTTAACGTGTTTTCCCCGGTAAGCCTACTCCACGACTTATTGTAGTCCTGTTTAACTAAATGATATTGCATGAAATAAAAAATAGTACCACTGGAATTGATGAAAGCGGTGTGACTAAGAATAATTAGAGAAAACTATTCATCTAATTGATAATTACAATAGTTTACAAGAAATCCCACCTGTGGCACTACACCATCACTTCTTATGTAAATTTTTCCGTTGAATCTGAATATTGAGTCAAAATATCATAAACTTTAATAGTTTTGAGATATACATAGCTAAATTTCGATTTTTAGAGATGTGAAATAGTGCAGCACGTAATTGCATATTTTTTTATATAGCTGACGAATCTTAAATTTCATTCTGCAATAGTTAAGCTTATTTAATTTAATATCTGTTACGTAAACGATATTTTCCAACTGGATTGGTAGTTTAGGAGCTAATCATTGATTCATCGACAATTTTGCGTAATTAAAAAACAAAATTTCATAAGTTAATTTCGGTAAAAATATCAATTTGAAAGAACCTGTTAACTTTTGGGTGCTTTCACGTCAAAGCATTATCTTTCATAAATACAATAAGGGCCTGCTCATCTAAATTGAATAATAAATGTAGAAGTTCTAGGCACTATGATCTACACTTTCGTCTCATTTATTTTTATGATAAACCGTACCATTCGGCTGAAAAATGCGAAAAAGCAATTTATGTGACTTTTGACCTTGAATTTTTTTGCAGGCGTATGATCGATGGGGTCTTTTGACATTTAATTCATAATGGTATTCGCAACACTCTTACTGATTTTCAGCTTTATGCGAAGTATTGTAAGCTTACCCCTATTTATATTGCAAAATCAGAAATTTACAGCTGATTTTAATATAAATATTTTTATTTTAATATCATAAAATTAAAACCGTGGGGCTCACGTGACAGACGTAAATTATTTATAACGAATTTGCAAACATTTCAAATTCAAAACTTATCAAGATAAATTCAATGGATGAAGGAAAAATTATTTTCTTCTTCTTTTCTATTTATAGAAACGTGGTATATTAAAAATATGTATTTCTATTTGATTTTTTTTCCATTATATTAAAGTTTGCATAAAAAGACTTGGAATTTGATTTTATCAAACATTTTATGAATAAATTCAATATGTTTTACCCATAAATAAAATGTAAAATTGAGTAATAAATTACTCTTTTTTTAAGTAAAATCGCAATTATCTCTGAAAGTATTATTCCTACATAATTTGGTATGAAAGCGTTTTTTGTAGAGCATTAAATTTGCGATCGAACACATTGAACTTTAATGGACTTGGGCAAGCCAAATTTTTTTAATCTTTCACATGGATTTTTTGTAGACCATAAACAACCATATGTTTGCCATTAGCATTAGAAATTGTAAAAGAGCGGCTTTTCGGCCCACTCTACTTATCAGGTACTACGTTTATAAGTAAGCTATTTGCAAATAATAATAATTTACAAACACCTAAATCACTGTTTAAACGTTGCCATTTCTCGCTATCTTTTCTTTTTCGATGGTGATATTATTGCGATTTTATAATCAAGCAATATTTAAAAAGAATTTTTCTCCGTCGAATATACAGTGAGTTAGGTATTTGTAAATTATTTTTAATTGCAAATAGCTGACGTATAAACGTAGTATTCGTTATTTGCAAATAAATAATTAACGCATCGTTTATGCGGCAAAGTTTACCATTTTATAATTTGTTATTTGCAAATAATACGTTATAAACGTAATTTATGATTGAGCGGATTTTTTT